TTTATATGACTATAAATCATTTCATTAAGGAATAATGAAAAGTTTGAAGCTAAATTGTTAGATGTTATTTGTTTTGAACGGACTAAAAAGAAAAAAAATAAATGTGACGTTTATTAGGACAGGAGAGTAATATTTTACATTATATTTTTTATAACACCCCAAAAATTTCTAAGCTAAGACTTGAATCATTCAGTAATACCTCACAACTCTACTCTTAAAGTGATCTAGGTTCATAAGGGACCTCAAACACCACGTCACGTTCAAAGCATTTATATCGGTTAAGTTCTCGCATGAGTTCATATAGAGGTCTATTTGAAACAATCATATCTCCTAGACTATACTGAATTAGGTAGTTAATGACCTATCAAATTAAAGATCTATAAGTCTTCTTTCCAACTCCATCAAATTTTCTTTATTTCGGGTTTGAAGTAAAAAGTTATGATAGTTTTACTGGAACATGTCCGGGAAGGAAAATTCGGCAAGAATACCTGCCCATTTGGCAACTCGTTGAATAGGTTGGCGAATCGTTGAATTACCTCACCAAATTGTCCTGAAAACCTGCAGTCTCTGGATATTTTGGCAATCTAAAACCCCATTTGGCTAACCGCCAACTATTTCGGTGAGGAGACCTCCAGATCGCTAATTTGGGCTTTGTGATTCATTAAAAGGTCATTTTCTTTTATTTTTATGGTCTTCTTACGTTCCTAGAAGGGTATTTTTGACCTTTTACCTAAATCAACTTCCCTAAGTCCATCTTACAACCTAATAACATCATTATACGTATGACAACTCTCAAAATCCCCAATTCTCATTCTTCCAAATATCAAGAACTCCAAGAAAGAGATTTCTTCAATTTTGCAAGATCTAAAGGCTCCAAATTCAAGATTCTCTTCAAGAATCCTAAGGTTTTTAATCCAAGTTTTTCTCCACTCTTCATCTCCAAAAAAACCCGCAAGATAGGCAAAATCTAGGGTTTCAAGTCTTCCTATCAGGTTCTTTTTCAAACTCTTTCAAGAACTTTGTTCTTCCAGGTACATAAGACAAATCATAGTGATGGACTAAGTTCTTCCTCACACCTTACATCTAAATTCAGTCAGTAAAAGTTTAATCTAGGGTTATACTCTTAGTTTTGAGAATTTCTAAGATGAGTATATTATTGATTTTAAGTTCTAAATTTTAGATTATGAATTTCTATATATTATGCATTGAGATCTTTGAGTTGTTGTTCATGTTTATATTCTCGGATGAACCCCATTTACTGAATTTTCATTCAAAACCTTTTAATCAAACACTTTTCCTTAAATTGATTTTGAGAAGTTAAAAGTGAGTTCAAGAGTAAAGTTTAAAGTATATTTTTTTAGTAGAGAGTTTAAGGAAACTAAATGACTCCCAAAAGTATCATTTTTACATGGGAAATCGAACACTATTTTCGGAAAAGTATAAGAGTGTTTCAGAGTTTTTCAGACAGAGTTATTACAGAGCAGTTACCTCTTAAAGAGGCTCTTTTGAGAACTTATCTCAATCCAAAGAGAGTATCTTTACTTGAACATTGAGTTATATATTTTGGGAGTAGTATTGAGACCCGATATGGGGACGAGTTCAGACAATTCACATCTCCCATAAACCACGTTGCCAACGTGGGTTAGGATCACATTGACTTTCAAGCGACTCCTCACTACCTTTGAGCAGACCTTTTCAAATGGATCCATGAGTTGAGTTTGTTCTATACCCCACAAAGTATAGGGCAGTTCAAGCACGTGGGCGAGACGTTGTATCATCACGAGGCTCATAGTGATGGTTGTCGGTTAGAGAAACTCTAGTAAAGTAAAGTATATTTTTATATACATATTTCAGTTTAGTATTTTCTATTATTGCATCCTTACAGTAAGAACTTAAATGATCTTTTCATCGTGATTTATACTATATTTTAGTTAAATTACCTTTAGACTTTTTGTTCAATTATTTATTATTCAGTTATATTATATACTCGTACATTCAATGTACTAATGTCATTCGACCTGTATCTTTTTATGATGTAGATTTAGGTACTTAGGATCCTCAACATGAGTTCTGTTAAGATCATTACATCTGCTCGTCAGCTTTTGAGTGAGACCTCCTTACTTTCGGAGGACTCCAATTTTTATGAGTTTTTGGTAGTAATATTTTAAAGTATTGTGGGTCTTGTTCCGACACTCATCTGTATACAGTGGAGACTTCATAGATAGACAGTTTTGGAGATTCTTTAAGTTACAGATATTTTATTTAAAACTTATTTTCATACTTAGTTATTCAGAGAGTTCTGAGATTCAGTAAAATGTTGTTAAATATTTTTTCAGTTTAATGTTTGATTTTAAGAAGTTAAAAGTGAGATCAAAAGTAAAGTTTGAAGTACATTTTTTAGAGTTTGAGGGGACTAAATGATTTCAAATGTTTCATTTTTACATAGAGAAAGAGAGCACTATTTTCAGAAAAGTATAAGAGTTTTTTAGATAGAGTTATTACAGAGCAATTACCTCTTAAAGAAACCTTTTTGAGAACTTATCTGAACTCATTGAGAGTATTTTTACTTGAGCATTGAGTTATATATTTTGAGAATAGTATTGAGCACTGATATAGGGAAGAGTTTAGACAACTCATATTCCCCATAAACCACGTAGCCAGTGTGGGTTAGGATCGCACCGATTTTCGGGCGACTCTTCACTATCTTTGAGAAGACCTTTCAGATGGATTCATGAGTTGAATTTGTTCTATACCCCGACAAGGTATACGATAATTCTAATAATGTGGGGCGAGACGTTATACCATCACGAGACTCATAGTGATGGTTGTTGGTTAGAAACTCCTAGTAAAGCAAAGTATCTTGTATATGCATATTTCAGTTTAGTATTTTCTATTATTGCATCCTTACGTTAAGAGCATAACTTTTATCATGATTTATACTATATTTCAGTTGAGTTACCTTTAGGTTTTCAGTTCAACTATTTTCTATTCAACTATATTATATACTTGTACATTCAATGTATTGATGTCATTTGACTTGTATCTTTTTATGATGTAGATTTAGATACTTAGGATCCTCAACATGATTTATGTTAAGATCACTACATCTGCTCGTTAGCTTTTGAGTGAAACCTCCTTGCTTTCGGAGGACTCTAGTTTTTATGAGTTGTTGGTAGTAACATTTTAAAGTATTGTGGGTCTTGTCCTGACACTCATGTTTATACAGTAGAGACTTCATAGATAGACATTTTTGGAGAGTCTTTCAGTTTCAAATATTTATTTAAAACTTTTGTTAAAGTTTTGAGATTCAATAAACTGTTAAACATTTCTTTCAGTTTGATGTTTGTGTATGCTTGGGTTAGTCTTTTGTTTGTAGTCATCCAAAATGAGGGTTCACTTGGGACCAAAACAATGGTTCTCGAGTGCCAGCAATGTTCAGGGTATAGATTTGAATCGTGATACTTTGTATGATTTTTTTTTCAAAACTTTAACCTATGGCTTACTAGTCATACAGTGACAAATCTTATTGTTGCGTCAAGCTTTTCATAATTAAAAATGAACAAGACCTCAACGACGCTCTTTCCCCATATGGAATTGTTGCAACTGTTCATTCTTTAATTTCACAATCATTATGTTTTCTTCAAATGATTGATGGTTGCTTCCAAGCCCACCTCCTAGTCACCATTGCTTGGTCACTTTCTTTTCCACTAAGTTATTACTTTGAGACCTTAGAGTACGATCGGGGTTGTTTCCCTTTTGGATCTTAGCCCCCAAAAAAATTGTTTGTACAAATGATCTACGCCTTATTCAGAGCTTTCCTAGATTGGTAAGGCAAAATGATCGGGCCGCCCTATCTCATTGAGTGTTCTACCTTAGTCCATCGACACCATACCCTATATTGAAAGAATTTCGCGAAAAATCAACTATATACGATCTTGGTTGGCCTATCACCCCTAGACACAAGTCATTCTCATATTATTTTCATATACGTATATTCGATCGTTCAAGGCCTGTTAGAGCTCTCTAAAGGGTACACACTTCTTTTATCACATTGGTATGATTATTAGGATCTATTCTTAGAAGATTGATTTATTTGGATCAACTAGCATTCTTCATATCAAAAATTAAGAATCAATGGAATGTTTGTTTATCAATGAACATCTACATGGGTTACCACTATTGGAAAACACATTTAGATTCCAGAGTAATTATAAGGATAGAATGATGAGAAGAGGAGGCTACTACTCGATGAGATTAGTCTACAAAAGATTTTAAGTTCAGACTATAATGACTGGAATTCTCACTTACTCAATAATTGGAGTTGATAGAGCTTTCAAAAGAAAAAAAAGGAGTGAATAGGGTTTATGGATCATCAATACACCAACTAAGAAAAAGTATGTAAGAAATACGTCTTCTAATTCTCATAATATCTTAAGCACGAGATATTTCATATGTTTCATCAATTTTGTCTGAATCCCACCTTTCTTTTGAAAAGAGGGAAGGAGAAGGATCTTCTTTAGTGGATCCCTCTTGTTCATGTCCCCTTCATCTCAAAGGCCATTTCTTATTTCTACATCACTTTCTTCCTCACTTATGACATGATATAAAAGATAACTTTCGATAGACTGAAAACACCAAGCGGTCTAACCTGATCCCCAAGATGGATCCCAATCGAAAGACGCTAGACGGAATAAGAACAAGCTAGATAAATAACTTATAAGTAATGCAAATTACAAAGCCCTATATCTTGGCACTTTCATAATGTCATCGTCATATTTACATTATTAGACTTCCTTTTTTTTTATCACAACCGACGCTCATTAGTTTTATTTTATTCCTACAACTATAAATAGAAGTAAAAGAACACTACAAAAAGAGAAGATTGTTCACATTTACTCCCTTAGTCAATCCTAACAGCTAATTTACAACCCAACTTCTCCTCTCACACACACAAAACAAAACAAAAAAACACATTATATATCTGCAGAACAAAGAAGACAATTTTGTTCAAATCAATGGCTGAAATAGAGAAGTCTGATGAAGAGATGCCTAGAGTTATAAATTTCATGGCTTCTGTTCTTGAAAGAGTGGCGGAAACAAATGATCTCAATAGTGCACAAAAAATTTCGATATTTGATGGACTTACTAGGCCTACAATTTCTGTTCAAAGTTACTTGGAGAGGATATTCAAATATGCAAATTGTAGCCCTTCTTGTTTCATCGTGGCGTATATTTATCTTGATCGATTCTCGCAGATGCAGCCATTGTTGCCCATCAATTCTTTCAATGTTCATCGCTTACTCATCACGAGTGTCTTGGTTTCTGCTAAATTCATGGATGATATGTGAGTTCTTTCACTTCGCTTTGTTTTCAGATTTCTTATATAATATAAATTGTACATACATTTAACATCAATCTTAAACATAATATGATAGATTTATGATTTTAGCTAAGTTTTAGCAATCACATTATTGTACACACACACACACATATATATATATATGCACAAAACATAGAACAGAGCTAATAGGAAAAAAAAAATCAGAGTTTTGCTTCACAACTTTCTATACTTGAAAAAAATTACTGAAAATTTTTCATTTTACTATTTTTTATGACTTATGACATGATATGTTTAAGATCGTGAATTTTGATTATTTTTTTTAAAGTATGTAGCCTATAAGACATAATCGTCAAATAAATTGAAACGATTGGAGTAATTGTTTACTTGTAATGTGAGTAGTATAACAGGTCATTTGCCAGATAGGATGATGACTATAATGATTTGATTTTTAGAAAATAGATACTTTAGAAAGAACTTTCTTAATTATAATGACTTGATTTTGGTTGGAACTACGTTATTTAAGGATTAATTCCTAAGACAACTTATCACATCATGTATAAGGGAAAATTTAGATCGGATAAGTTATCCCAATCTTGACAACCAAATAAGACAGTAAAATTTTATTTCTAGACTAATTTTTATCTCAGAATTATTTATTTTTATCTCTCACACCACACCACATAGACAGATAGATTGTTGCTGTTAGTTTCTGAAAAAACCTTTTACATCTACCAAATTACTAGTACAAATTAGTGAAAGTATGATTTTTGTAATTATTTTGGACTTACAAAAAATCAAAAACCATTGCCTTGAAATTCGTGGTGCACAGTATGAAAGCTCTTGTGAAAGAGTAATTTGTAAGCGTCATGTTTCCTGACTTTGACATAATTGGTTAACTTACTAATTCATCCAACTTCCTTGACCTTACATCATTAATTCCTTAAACAAATTAGTAGTGTCTAACATAAGGAATTATCTTATTTACCTATACTAATAGAATATTACTTAATTGCTTTGTTTTTTTAAAATAAAAACTAATTCCATTTATCATCTTTAAAGGGCACCTAAAAATGTGAAAGGCCAACAATTACTAAGTAATATCCTCTCATCTGCTTAAGTTTTGATAGACATATGTATCTTTAGTAAATAAAGTTATTTTTTGTATCTATACTAATAAAACGTAATAAACATTTGGTTAAATAATCGAGAAGCACGTGAACTGATTGGCTAAGGTGCATTTAAATACCAAGCTGCCGACGCCGTCCTGAAGCAAAAGCGGTATCAAATAAGAACATGTGAAATGTCCATGTTTCAAATCCAGACAAAATCACCTAAGATATGATGTGCTGTCTTTTGTCTGCTGACCCTCCCAACGTTTTTGTGTGGCTATAAATCAATTCATTAGGAGTGAAGACGAAATTTTAAAGTTAGATTGTTTTCAATTATAGAAAAACATATTTTTTTAACGGACTAATAAAAAAAATATCTCTATCACATAAATTGAGAGAGAGAAAATATTGAAGTGGTGTACTTAAGTTATTAATTAAGTTGGACTCTATAGTAATGATTTATGTAAAATTTATTAGTATTGTTATAGTTAAATATTAATTTATAATGATATATAGGTTCCCTTTCTAGTTTAAATTTGCCTCTAATTATGAAATGCAAGCTAATTAAGTTTTTGTGTGGCTATAAATCATTTCATTAAGGGTGAAAAAGAAGTAAAATGTTGCTTGCTTATACTAATAACTAAAAGTTTTTATTAACATTAATATTAAATGTCAAAATGATGAAATAAATGTGATCTCTATATATATCTAATATAAATGAAATCTATCCTGATTGAATTCTAAGAATAAAATAATTTATTCTATAAAGTAACTTTTTCCCCTTTAATGCGCTCTATAATCTATATTAATAGGTTTAGTGCTTAGTGAATACTACATAAAAAAAAAAAAATGTAACGCAACTATGCTAGCTCTGTAGCTTTGACATTTTCCTTTTTTCGTCGGTTGATCCTTCTATTTTTGGTTTTTATTATTATTTTTTTAAAATGATTTTGGTAATTAGTGGAATATCCAATTGTAGATCTGAAATCTTGATTTTTAGAAAGGCATTATTAGCTGTCATTCAACTCTTTGCTATTGTCACAAATTAAATTACAATTAATTTGCTTTTTTAGTTGCTTTCAACTTAATTCCTTGATGTGAAGTTTATAATCAGTGATCTTCCACTACAGGCCCCCACCATCCCCAACAATATTCTAATTAAGACGATTTAACATGACATTATTATACTTAAAAGATATTAAACAATCTATCTGTCATAGTTATCTTGACATAATTATGATTTTAAGTATTATGATATTTTTACCTAAAAAGTTGAATTAGCTCGAAGGTTGTTTAATCAGATATTCACATGTATATTGAAATTTCTCATTTATTTGGTAACACAATAAGCAAAAAGTTTGGGAAAGTAAATATTTCAATCATTTTTTTTTAATCTCTTACTTTGTGTCGAGTATCCAATTTGAAATTCAACTAATTTGGATCCACGTTGGGAGATTTCAACCTTAGGAGGTAAACTAATGCTCCCTATGCATAAATGATTTTTGTTCCCCGAGTTCAAATCTAAGACATCTGATTAAAAATGTATAAAAGGTTACTTACCATAATGTTTGGATTTTCACGATAAATATTTCAATTGTTATGAATTAATTGCACGCATTGTATTGAAAGTTGAAAAATATTTTGGTTTTGGCAGATTTTACAACAATGGTTACTATGGGAAAGTAGGAGGAATAAGCACAAGAGAGATGAACTTGCTAGAAGTGGACTTCTTATTTGGAATAGGGTTTCAATTAAATGTGACTCCCACAACGTTCCACACCTATTGCTCTTATCTCCACACTGAGATGTTGATGCTTGAAATCCCAATGCCTCTCAAAATTGTCAACCAACAATGTTGGGTTAACGACGACGAATCCTCCACTCATGAGCTAGACGTTTCACAAATAATACAAAAATTATTGGACTAAATTTTGTCACTAGCTAGGTCAAGATTCTATACTACTCTTTGGCCGGCTTTATAAAGTTGTAAACAAGAATTAATGTTGCAACTTTGTGGATTCTTCATATTCCATTTTTGAACGTTTTCTTAATGAGTTTTGCCGCAGAATCGGACTTTAATTTCCTCAATTAATTTGAGATTTTGGGTAAATAATCTTTTTATTAGTCATTAGAATAATTGAGTTAGTAACTTCAAATATCATAAGACATGTAACATACTCTTTGACATTGAAATTTACGACTTTTTAGACGCTATAAAAAGGGACACTTTTTAGGTCCATGTTGTGTTTTAAACCGTAAAAGGAGGGTCCCTTTTGATCTATATAGAGTTCAAAAGATGTCCGTTTTGAGGCCGGACCAACAATAAAGTGCTTCATCTAATTATTTGTCACGATCCAGAGTCCAGACCATCGTGATTGGCATCCACACTAACCCTCCGGTGGGAGAACCATTACTACAACTCAAACTAACAAATTTTATGAAAACTAAGGCATTTAAAGATACGGAAGCATGTTTAAATGACAATGAAAATGGAGTCCCCATAAACTCCAAGGATTCAACTAAAACAACGAATCATAACTTATGGAAATTTTTTTTGTAAAATTTCCATTTTACTCCTTCCGATAGTTGCCTCAGTTCATTTCTAGATCAGTCAGTGAAGTTGGTTTGAAATTTTGAACTATTCAATAACTACGATTAGCTAATTGGCGAATATTTATAAAATAATTAATTTATTTAGTTGGTGGTTAATGGGTCAAACCCTTTAATTAGCGAATATTTAATTTATTGTAAAAATTTTAGGAAACCCATAGTGTAAGAAGCAAATTACATTCTATTCCTACTAGATCTTTTACAAAAATCCCCTAAAATTGTTGTCATCCGCATACATCTCATTCTTCCGGATACTTCACATTTGATACATTATACAACTAGTTTGTTGAGATTAAAAAGGAAATTAAATATAAAATTAAATGTCAGTTCCCCAAATAATGCAAATCCAATTAATGTCAGTCTCTCCCAAATAACAGCTCCAAACAATTCAAATTTTCTTCTCTCAAATCTCTCCCAAATCGTAATAGATTAAAAAAAAGTCGACAATTTTATATAGTTATATATCATATAAAAAAACATATGCACTGATATTTATAAAATTGTGTTGTAGATACTTAACAACATGTGATACATAACTATGTTATATACATAGCAAAGTTATGTGTCACATACATTACTATGAATATGATACAAACTGATTTGGCCAAACACATATACAACCCCTCTAACTTGTCCACATTTTTCATTTTGGCACTTTATCTTAGCCTTGTTCCATTTTAACCCTTGAACTCCATTTTTTATGTTCCATTTTAACACGAAATACTATTTTTATGATTTATTTATTTTTATATATATTCTTCAATTGCAACTTCTTATTTTAAATCGACATGTGTCATTTAATTTTAGTTAAATAATTAAAAATTAACAAAAAATAATTCTTTCTAAAAAATAATAATTTCTTTTTAAGAGTGTTATGTATTTTTGTGTGAAAAATAACCAACGAAATTGTGTTGGTTTTCTTTCTTTAAAATCACCGACAATCTAACAAAGTCAGTCGAGTTTTAACATTGTTTAGTAGTGTTATTAGCAATGAACAAGAGTCTTTTTTTAGTAGTGTTATTAACAAAGTCAGTCGAGTCTTTTTGAAGATGGGTTTTTTTATTTGTATTGATTTATATTAAAAATTAAAAGTGAGTATTTGCGTTAAATTTAGATAGCCTAGAATAACTAGATGATAAGAAAAAATAAATAAGTAGTGTTATTTAATTTAATTGAATGTTTAAGAAAGAAAATCAAATAACTTTCGTCAATTTATTTTCATGCAAAAATACAGAGAAATATCAAAAAATATTATTACTGTTTGAAAATTTTATGTTCGTTCGCGAATGTTTAATTTTTTTAATTAACAGGCACACGTCTATTTTTTTTAAAATAAGAAATTGCAATTGAAAAACATAAATAAAAACAAATCATAAAAATTAGTATAAGTGTTTAAATGGTACAAAAAAAATGAAGTTTAAGGGTTAAAATGGAACAAGGCTAAGTTGGAGTGCCAAAATGAAAAATGAGGGCAAGTTTGAGGGGTTGTATATGTGTTTGGCCAACTGATTTTGTTATAAAACATTAGTGTTTATGTATCAACAGTAACATTTGGTAGTGTCTACAGATACATAGCTTTCTACTAGTTGAATAAGGCAGGGTGTATGTATCGATAGTAAAAGATAACAAAATTTATAATAATTGTGTATCCAATACATAACTATGAACATGATAAATACTAATTTGAGTTTCAATAAATTAGAGTTATGTATCAAAATTAATATTTGAAAACGATATATTGTACATGATAAAATTGTAATGTATCATAAAGGTGAAACGATCAAATTATACATTAATTTAAGAATCAAAATCAACTAGATACATTAAAATATCTGCTGAAAGCAACCAAAAAAAAAAGCTAAAAGCAAAAAAATAAAATGATGAGAAATCTTTCCACACTTTCTCCTTTGTTCTGCATCAACTCTTGTAGTTGTTTTTCACTTTCAATAATGGTGTTACCTATGGATCTCGACCCAAAGCACTTTCCGAAGCCACCAACAGCTCTTGATAAAATTGTAATGTGTGTGTATATATATATATTGATTTAGTATTAATTTAGCAAAATTATCATCCTTAATGATACCAATACAATAGATAATACTTATTTAGTACTCCTATCAGTTAAGCGAAATTAATTGGGGGATATATAGTGTAATTATATAATGTGATATGAATCTAAAGGAGTATATATTTATAATTATTTTATTTTTATGAGATATTTACTTAGTTTCTCCTTCAGATTATGTTTAAAGTTGAATAATGGGGAAAATATGAATGTGAATAGGAGTGTGCAATCTTCATGGGTTAATGCTTCTATTGAAAAAATAGAAAGACAATGCGTAATTCATGAACAAATAAATGCATGTACTTTGAACAATCTCATGATGTAACTTGTATATAATATGTATATCACATATATATTATGTGTATATAATACGGATGCAGATGACATACACAGAGCATATACAAGATATACGCATAACATACAATGATATACATATATCCATCCATTGGCGCATCACCACTAGTTAGTAGTTCTATCATAACAATACAAAACTCGTTTCAATTAATTTTTTTTTTTTTATATTACTGCATAACCAAGTCAAACCCTTGCACAACCATTCAAAAATTACTCTTTTGGTCCGTTGAGATAACAATTCTATTAAAATTGATTTATATTTTATATTTTTACCTAGTTTAACCCACTTTATATATGATTTAAGCATGTTTTCTCATTCTTTAGCCCAACCTTTAAATAATAATGATGATTGGTCAAAATTTCACAAACTTTTTCCAGGTACACGAATAGGCATTACAAACTCAAAATTTATATTTACACGATGAGTAACACCAAAATCAATTGCATCTTTATAGTTATACATATCTAAAAGTAAAAAACACAAGTTAATTATATAAATTTTAAATTCAAGTTTGTTAGTTTGTTGGATCAGGTGATCTTTCCATCGATTGAAAATTAGAGTTTAATTGAAACTTAAATTTGAAGTGACTGAAACTAGGTTTGAGTTAATCTTAAATTTGAATTTTTCGAATTTGTTAGTTGTTTGAATTGAGTGTTATTCCAATCTAATGGAAACATCAAGAGAAGATCAAAACTTAAATCTGAAGTGATTTGGAGTAGATTTGAGATAAATTTCAAACGAGCTCAAGGAAGAAGACGGAGTCAAATTTTGTATAATAATGCATAATTCTGCTTAATGGTATATATAGATACTACCAGAAAAGTGTGAATTACATGGGGATTTTCTTGGGGACTAGTATGAAAATTTGTAGGAAACTTATTTTCCTGCAAATTTTCATACTAATCCCCGGGAAAATTTCCATATAATTCATACTTTTCTTGTAGTAGATATATAAACACATCTAATACACTGTAATACATCTACATCTAACTTGTTCAAGTCAATCTAAGTCTCCAATAAATAACAAATTTTGTGAATAATCTTCTTATATGTTTGTGCAAAATCTAAATATATTTAAAATTTGTGGTCTAAATTACTACTATTTTTATGACTATAAATTACTTTATTTAGGATAAAAAAAATAATTAAAGTTAAATTGTTTTTCTTTATAGAAAAATAGCATTCCTTTTACACCCACTAAAAAAAATATACAACATAAGTTTAGCATTAAATTCTAAAAATTCATTATATCGACTACTGCTATTTGCACACAATTCCAAACAATTTCACAAACGACTCCTCTATAATAGAAGCTTGAAATTTTATCCCTCCATTCTCCTTCTGGACATAACACATGTCTATTATTTTGAAATTATTTTATTTATTTTTATTGTTATTTTTAATATATTAAATTTTTTTATAAAATTTATATTTTACGCTTAATTTTAATTATTGCTTCTCCAAATTACATTTATCAACTTACCACGCAAACGTGCGGGCACATATACTAGTTATTTCATAAAAGGAGAGTAAAGTATATAGTGGACAAGTAAAAGCGAACGGAGAGAGAAATATACTACTTCATTCATTTTAATTAATTTGTTTGTTTTATTTTCTTTTTAGTCCCTTTAAAAAAGAACATTTTTTCGTTTTTGGCAACTCTTTAATTTCAACTTTTCATGAGACATATTTAGGATAACGAAATTCAAAAGTCTTCTTTACTTTCTTAAAATAGAAGATATTTTAACATATTTTACATATATTTAGTTTAACACTACGAGATTCAAAACATCGCTAGTGTATGGCCACAAAATTCCAAATATTTTTGACAAGTCATTTTTTTGGTGAAGTTTCACCACGTGTTTGGTCATAGACTTTGGGAGAAATATTTAACTTTAGAAAAAAATTATTTATACCCAAAAGTTCTAAAAATTATTAAAAATACTCATAAGTTTATATTATCGTTTTATAATGAAAATGTTCGTGAAAGCTATGACAATGAACATAATTAATATGATTTTGAAAAAAGAGGAAG